ATATATATATATATAAAGACCAAAATGAAAATTTTTAATTATAAGAATTAAAATGTAAAGTTCATGAAATTATAAAATAAAAAATAATTAAACCATATTTTTTAATTACTTGAATTGAGTTTAAAAATTGGTATTATCAAAATTAGAGAAAAAAAAACATTACTTTATTTTTGTAATGTAATATTTTAATATGATAGAGAAGTATCAATTTGGATTTACGCAAGTATTGAGAGATCATGTTACTTAACAAAGTGATTAGAGTTTGAAACTTAATTCAATGTAAAAAATTTAATCTCAGATTTGATACTTGTCAAACTGGTAAAAGAGATTATTCATAAAAATAAAAATAAAAATAAAAAAGAAATTATTGTGGAGGAGCTTGGGAATTCCGTACGCAGGTTGAGTTACAGTTAACGGTAACCTAATACAAAAACCTACAAAATTCTCCTTTTTGATTATCCAGATGCAGAAATTACAACTTTTGTCTAATATATATACTCATGGTGAAAAATATGGTTATGGGATGAATAGACCTAAACAATGTACTAAACAATATAATTATATATTGCGGCTCAAAATTTAATGTTATCTGACATTTTAAAAGTAATATAATTTTCTTAAAAAAACCTTACTTGATTGTTTTAATTTTGAAAATTTATAATAGTTTAATAATTAATATTTATTGTTGTACTATTATATAAAAGAGGCTAATCTCATTGAATATGAATTAAAACAATGTTAAACACGCATCAAAAGTGTTTTATACATTTTTTTTTTGGCATTTGTTCATGTACGGGTAGGGGCGTTCGGCCACCTCTGGTCGGCCGCCGAATGGCAGTACTTGGTGGCTGAACGGCAATCGGCCACCAAGACCGAACTATCATCACTCATTGCTCTTAATCCATGATTAGGGGTTAATCAGATGATTAAGGTGTATTACCTGATACGGTAAATACGTTGCAGGGCTCATGGGGTCCAGGGCCCATAAATGTCAGTATAAATAGCTCAGGTCAAAAGGTAACGTCACTGTTCATTAATTGTCATCGATATTTGTGCTTATTTTGATTTGAGCGTCGGAGTGCCTTCTGCAGGTATCTCCCCCCCAGCTTACCGGAATATTCGATCGGAGTACTCGTTCAGCCCTCAGAATACGAGAAGATTACCGGTGTATCCTTTCACAGGTACAGTTCACATTTTCATATAAAATTGCATATAGTTGTGTCTCGTAGATGGCATGGGACCGTAAAACAAACGAATGTGCTATTTTTATGAGGGATATTTTTGGTTCATATTACAAATTTATAAGTATGAAACAGAACATGTGATAACATTATGAGTCGACCCAACAACGTAATAAATACTATTCTAGATAAGGAGAATGTAGAGCTATATAAAAGTAATCAAGGGAGAGAAGCCCAATACTAATAGTACGGTTTTAAATTATTATTTTTATAGTAAACACTAATCACTATTGTTGGGATACTGTATAAGAACTATAATATATATATATATATCCTCTATTTTCTGATTTTTCTCTATTTCTTATTTTCTCGCAATTTCTTTTTCCCCCCAAAACAGGTCAATATATAATGGGAATATATATATATATATATATATATATATAAATAAGAGTTAATCACCTATACATTATCAGTGTAAAAAAATTTTACACTGACAATTAATCATATCTTTTAATAGTGAAATAATATTTTAATAGTGAAATGATAGTTACTTATTTAATGAAATAATAATAAAATAAGCAATTTTAAAAATATGATTGGTTGCCAGTATAAAAGTTTTACACTAACAATGTATGAATGATTAACTATATATATATATATATATTTACAATAAAAAAAAATCATTAATGTATTGTCAGTTTGTTATTAATCTTTTAATATATTTAGCATAACTTTTAAAAATATTTTTACTTATTAATTTTTAATCAATATCTTAATTACACTAGTTACTAAAACATTGAAAAAAAATATAGAAGAACTGGGGTTTTGTCATTATAGCATTCCCAAAAATTTCCACATAGGAACTTAACTGATTAGAAGCATAATCTGTTTTTCTTCCATTTCTACTGAATTTGGTGCATTGGTTTTGGCACCTTTGGTTAGTGTTAGTGATTGATTACCTAATGATTCTATATCGAAGAAAATGGTTCAATTCAGGGGAAACAGAGAGAATCAACAGTTTGTAAAATAATCAAAACAATGCTAAAGTGGTTGCAATTTTTATTTATTTATTAATTTTTAGGTAACGAGGTGGTTGCGATTATTAGTTGCTCTAAAAGTTAATTAAAGAAAAAGTATAAAGTTTAAGCTTCCACGGCACACTCATTAGAAGAGCAAATGATTATCTAAAGCAAAAAAAAAAAAGGTCAATGTTGGTTTATAATAATTACAAGAATCCAAGTAAGTAACACATAATCTCAAATTTCTTCACCAATATAGATCTTAGCGTCATGAACAATCTTTCGTTCATATTAAAATTTTACCTACAAACTACCATTTACAATATGTGTCCATTAAAATTATATATCACGTGTTTAAATCAGCACATTTTTATTTATAAATTCCATTATTTCAATAACTGATTATATGAAGAATCGATTATTATTATTATAATTAATTATAACCAAAATAAATTTTTGTTTTAAAAAAAATTATTAATAAGAAATTTAAATTTTTTATTTTTTATTGAGTACAAGAAAAAAAAT